TAAAGTATGGTGGTTCATTCTGATAGTCTAATGCAAAACGTTTACACTACTGTTCCAATGAAAAATTGAAGAGACTTCTGTTGTTTCGCCAATGTATGATCCAGTAAAGTATGGCTCATCTTGTCAGTCTCAAGGTATAAGTTTTACACTTCTGTCTCAATGGAGAATTGAAGAGACCTCTACTATTTCATTATTGTATTTTGCACGTTCAATTAAAGTATAGGCTATCCTGATAGTCTCATGCAAAGAAGTTTACTGTTTTAATGGAGAATCTATAATCTGTTACTAATATGTCCCACTAAAGAATGATCTATTGTTTGTCTACGGTAAGAACATCCCCCGCCACAATGACTGAGGCCGTCTTCTGCTATGAAAACAAGAACAATGCATTTCAGGGAGGGTAGCTTCTTTTCACTCTAGGGATAACACAATAGACCGAAGAAAAAATCCCCTTTCTCTTACTGATTCGACCCGAAACCTTCCCAAATCAGTGACCCCACACCCCTACCTGAAATAGTTATACCTCGTTACCATAGTCACCGCCAAGGGTCCAGACGAATGACTAGGGGAGGTCTTACTTTAGACAAACTATACTTAGGCGCGAATTGGAAAAACCCCACAAGGGTTTGTTCAGGTGCACCCACTTTAAAAAAAACTACTTTTTGCAAGATTTTTTCTTATTTTCGAAATCCGTTATATAATTATGCTTTTCAAGACTAATAGAAATCTCTGAATTCAATAGATTACATTTATACCAACTCTTTCCCCCCCTCTTTTATACACTTCACCTAAACCGAGTTTTTCGGTTATCCAAGTGAGTCGTGGTCAACATCGACTCGGTTAACCGGGACTCTACTGCATTTCAAAAATTATATTTTGTTTAAAAAAGCTTATAATTACAATCTAATATAAACAATAGTATTAATTTTCAATCTATATAATGTCATTTTTAAAACTAAAAAGTAATTAATGCAAAAGAAAATAAATTTAATGAATTTCTTTAGAGCTATGGTTCTTCAATATATTGCGCACAAGAGTATGTATCAGAGGTGATTGTGAGCCCAAGTTAAAATTCCGGAAAATTTCTTGAGTAAGAAAAATTAAATTTTTTTTTAAGTCGAAAAATTAGAAAAAAAATTTAAACAAGGTTTTTTCCTTTTTCTCAATGCTTCTTAATTTACTTAAAATATATTTAAAATTCTACACATACCAATGGTCACTTGGAGAAGTAATTGAAATTTACAAATATGTCTTTCTTTGTTGAGTTTATGATTATAATAACTATTTACTGATAAAAAAATGAATATTAATCTTGAACATAAGCTTATAAAGTATCTGGCTCTCCCATACAAACAAAGAAAATAAACTGAGTTTTTAAGTTCCACCTTTGAAAATTTGATTTCCGGAAACCTTTGTGATCAATGATTTTTTTAAACGTCTTAACCTTCGATCTCCGGAAACATCCGGATCACGGTTAGCGAAACATCCGGAAATCCGGATTTTTTCCGGAGCACAATCAGCCCTGGTGTATAGTAAAACCAAATTTTATAATAGTAACACAAAAAACTATTACATTATTTTAATCAAAATTTTTTAATATATAATACAATATACTGAACATATACACCACTAGAAAGAGAAGCTTTTCATGATAAAATTCTTTTTTTACCTCTATCGGTATTTCAAAATTCATAGAAAAATGAATTCAAGCAGACCACGAAGTTTCAAATGCTGTGAAATTCTCCTGCGGTATAGTGTCCTCTCAAGAAAAAACCCAGAGGCGTTACAATTAAAGAGCGTTTCGAATGGGACGTAAAAATAAGTTGCTTCTGAAACTTCTACGGTTCCATTTATACAGACGTACATTAAAGGAAAGACCAGGTTATTTAGAAACATAAAACTAGTCATGAAAAATAATAGAAGGTAGGATCGGTTATCATAGACTCAATGCGTGTTTAAAAAAAATGAAGATACATTTAATTCCGATTAACTGTTAACTGATTCAGATAACATGGAGCATTTCTTCTTCTAAATGAGTCTTTTTTGAAACTATATGAGTTCTTTTTTAACAAGGTCTCTCTCTCTGTACATTTTATTTCATGACCGTCGTTGAACAGCAGACCCAGTTTTTGGGTTTACAACTACTCATGTTCAACTCCGCGCCATTTTGAACCAATCCAGAAGACAAAGGAACACCTGGTTTAAGTATTGGGAGAAATTTGCGTTCGTGAAGGACTTTTTGATGGAACTCATCATTTGCGTTACATGGAAAGGAAAACCACGAAAAACTCACGGTTAGCCTGACGTCAAGGAGACTCAAAATCTTGATCCGTCTACCACTGAGGTTATTTTTCGTCAGCACTATGGTCGGTGTGAGCCGGAATTCACATCGATCCGCCATCGCTAGGATGCGAACCCAGTTCACGTCATTGGAAGGCTCTATCATACCCTCACTCAACACGGATCTAATAGAGTGATTGAGAGTGTGCGAATTCAGATTTTTAAAATCACTCTATCGTTTAGTGTACTAAATACGAAGAGATGTCTAAAAAGTAATATTGCTTATCACTAAGAAAATAGGAACCATAATATACCAAACTCTACACTCGCAACGTAATAATCCTAACTCAGCAGTGAATAGTGTTGAAAAAAAGTGCGAAATTCCTAATTGTTAAATTTAGATTGAATATTAAAAAGACGTTTCTTAAAACAGCAGATAAAGAGACACCCATTAAAAACAACAAATTTATTTTACTGAATGAGGCACTTCTAAATGATAAAAATACAAAAACAGAATAACTACAGGTTCATCATTTGGAATGCTTTGAATCAAGAACATTTGAAAAAGAGATCTCATCCCTTCTTTCAGCAAGCTATAAACATTTAAAAAAAAGTTTGCGTGTTTGTCAGATAAACAAGGAAAAAAACAATGCAACTTTTGCTTAAAATATGACATTCATCTAAAGACCCACATACAATCAATTTTGAAACAATGACAAAAGTAATTTAGGTTATAAAAAGTATGGCTTACTAGCTAAGACTAAAATAAAATATTCAATTATAATGATTTTAACCTGGTAACACTATTAAACATATCAACGTTTTAAGAAATGTGTTTGATTTCTGAAAGGGAGTTATAGAGTGACTTTTTCATAGGAGTAACTACGGTGGACTAAGCACAGCATCTTCTGAAAAAGTTGAATTTAGTTTATTACGTTCCGAAAAAAAACTTAATTTAAATATTTAATTGAAAGAATGTATGGGATCAAAATACTTAATTAGAATGGTGTATAATATGAATATTTCGTATTCAGTCAGAAGAGCGTAATTAGCAATAAAAGAATTATAATGAAAACAATTTCGCTTATAATATTTCATTTACTTATTTTTAAAAAATAAATAAATAAATGTGTTGTTAACCGGTTGGATATGGACCGGTTTTATTTTCCGTTCTAAGCTGAATATCAACATAAATTTTGTTGGTGCATTAGTAATTGTAAACAACGGATTCTCAACTAAAATGAAGTAAAATTCTTTTAGTTTTGGTATTCAGAAAAGCGTATAATGAAAATGGTCTGTGACAAAAGAAGAAAGCAGATATAATTTCCAGATTAATCCTTAATAAATATATAGTCTGTGGGGGGGGGGGGAAAGACGATTTTTTTGATCTTGCAACCAAACAGGTTTTGGAGTGCCGTCTCCAACAGCATATAATTAAGAGAGTATTTTTTTCCTTATTTAAATATTAGTTTATTAGATTATTTTTGATAAGGATTCCAAAAATAAACTTCAATGTCAAATTTTAATGAACATTGTGTAACTCATGTTTGTTCAAATGTTCTACAATTCACCAAATTAGTTTCAATTAAAATTCACCAAATTAGTTTAATTCACCAAATCGATATTTTGATGGAATGGTATTAAATATTTCATGAAGAGCGAATTAATGAACGCTTTATAGCATTTTTTGAAGCGGTTAAAGTGCTTGACACATCTATAATTCAAAACTATGTATATAATTTTACCGTAAAAAATTAGATCAGACAAATAACTTAAATATTTCATAAATTATTTATTAAACTTTTCTAAACATCACTAATTTGGGAAGCGTTTTCCTTCTGAATAAAAATCACTTGAATAAATGAATGATTCTCAATTTTTTTCAAATTTTACCCTGTTAATACATTTTTTCTTCTTTATGTTTCAGAATCAGAAAGTGCGAATCATGTCTGAAGCATTTCTATTATATTTAAGTAATACTTCAGAACAAAAATTTTCTAGTCGAGTACATTTCTAATGTTAAATATGGTTCAACTTCGGCAACAGTTCCTGTAAATGTATTCGTAATCGGAATGGCCAACAGATGGCGCAATTCTTTTCCCGTGGCAACTGCTTCAGCATTAGGTTGTGGATAGTCACGGGAGGTGGCAGCACTAAGTGGTGTTTAAAATTGATTAAAAAAAAGGCTACTTAGGTCTCAAAATGCATTAAAAATAGTGCTTAAAGTAAATATATATCTAAAAGTTTAAAATAAATATTTTATAATCCGAAAGTGAGAAGAACTGTAAATGGTAATAACATCGAAAAACAGTGACATACAACTGAGTAGTATAAGAAACTTTCATAATTTACAAAAAGTGGTAAAATCAAAGCCTGAAAATAATTCTGAAGAATTATTTTTTAAAATAGTTTATGAATTAAAATTACGAATTTAAGTACAATCATTGCTTGAGCTGCATTTTCATATAGAAAATATACTAAACATATTTATTCTTCAAAATATTTTAACAAACGTTAAATTCTGTTATTGTTTGATTTTAGTTTCAAAAACTAAATTTTCGAAATTTATTTTAAAGACCCATTCATAATATTAAATTAAATCATACACAAAGTTGTAAAGTAACAGAAAAAACGTTTTTGATCAGAATTTTAAACAAACACAAATGCTTTTTTTCCCTTTCCTTTTTAGGTTTTCAAAAATATGACAAAAAAAAAAGAAGAAAAAAAAGAACAATTTTAATAAATTAAAATGATTTGCTCCTGTAATGACAACTTTCTTTTAGTTGAAAACGTTTCTTCAGTTTTTTAATTATATGAATAGAGTGAACCGATATTATAAACAGATGAAATGATTTTTTTCACATGACTGAGTTCAACCAGTCGACAATGTGGACATAGTTTTTATCCATCCACCTAACATTAGCTTCGGCATTTTCCAGCGACTGATCAAATGCTCTGTTGGCTGTACCCAGATTATTCTTGTACTTTTTGTAAAACTCTTTCAGCTGAAAAAAAAAAATATATATATATGTTAGTATTTTTCAAATTAAAAGAGATTTGAAGCATAATGTTTATCCTTTAAGCATCTGGATCGTTGATTCAGTGCTTCAGAGGACGCTAAACCATGGAAGAAAATTTTCCACCCAAATACTCTCTTACTCCTTCATTATACTAATTTAACATTAGAAGTGAAGAAGTAGCCATGAGTAAGCCATGAAGTTTTAAATACTGAAAAGAAAATTTCATAATATACAAATGAAAATGAAGATGATAAGGTAGGAGTACGAGAAGTTCTCTACGAATAATTTGTTTGCATTTTAATATTTTGAAGTATTTTTTTCAGCAATGGAAACTTTACGACTTAATTATTTTTTTTTTTAAATTAGTAAGGAAGGAGAATTAGTGAAGAAAATTTTCTTTCGCGGTATGGCTTCCTCTTGTACCGCATGTTGGCGAAAAACGAGGTGACAAGAAGATACTACTCAGAAAGGACAGCTAGTAATATTTTTATTTTGTGACGTAACGAAGTTAATTGATCCTACAACCAAATCATGCATATTTGTCTCAACTTCCGTCGAATTCCAAATGAATACCGGTTCAGAAGTGTGCTCGTTCTTACCCAAGCAATGCTTTTTACTTATTGGAACTGGTTGAACCTCTTCGAATAATGACAAAAATGGATACCCATAATTAGAAAGAAAACTGCTCAAACCTAGTCGTCCATTCTAGGGCTCTTCCAAACTGAACCTGATGTTTAGTTCAGAATGGTAGGTCAAAGCGTCTTAAAATTTTCAGCAGTTTTAACAGCTAATCCATCACTAAGAAGTCAATAAAATCTCTGAATGGATATTACTTAGCATCGATTCAGAGTAAATGAATTTTAAGCAGACAAATTTCTGAATCATCGGGACATAATAACTTATCGATTGAGATTCGGCATACTTCTTAATCAGTTAAATGAATTGAACGTCGGATTAAATCTCTTTTGCCGTGCAGTATGACGTGTAGATTCGTCGTGTAAAAAATTACCCCTGACTGTCAAAACTCGAAATTTCAATAAAATACAATAAGTACATTATTGGGTGATACGTTTCTTCTATATTAACAATAGTGACTATTTTACAAGGTCCGAAACCAATTAAATTAGTGATTCGAATGAAAAGTGTTGATTTATGTAACTATTGCGTTGATAAACAATACTGGTCTACGAGGTATAGACATTTTGGAATTGAATACAAGAATCCTCTCGCTTTTCGAAGCAGGGCTGAAAGTAAGACTGAAAAACCATTTTATTTACAGCTGGTTTTCGTGATGCTTTTGCTATTTTCTAAACTATATTCACTATATTTTAGGTTTGAATTACTACATATGTGTTATTACTGTTGAAAAAAAAAACTTTTCTTGACATTGTCAATAAGACCACTCGCGTTATTTTTTCTTACAGTCCCCTAGCTGCCTGTTGTGGGCTAGGGTGGTCAAGACTCTACAATTTCGTGACCAACGACATGATTTTGTTTTATTTTATAACCATCGTTGAACAGCGGAGAGAATTTTCAGTTTATGACTACCAATGTTCATCTCCGTATCCTTGTCATCTTGAACCCAATCCAGAAGACACGGGAACTGCTGGAGTGGGAGAGCCTTCGTGAAATACTTTTTGAACCAGCATTTGAGTTACAAGGATATGAAAACCAAATCGAGCTTCTCAATTGCGTGTTTCGAGATTAAGTTGTTGTAATATCGTATAAGAAATATCGGATTTATAAACTATGGAGAAATGAATAGAATAACTGTCGAAAATTCGATAGAAATATTGCTTTAAAAATAAATACTCAAATGCACGATTTGAATTTTCCATATTATTTGATATACATCAGGATATTTAAAATCCACGTAAAAATCAATATCAATAGCTGGCAAAAGTACAATCGAAATATTACATCGATTTACGATATTATCGGCGTAAATTGAGCGCCTCAAAAAGTGAACATCTAAATGACTGATTCAAATATTACGTGTAAATTTCTGTAGAAAAGAAAATGATTTTTTTTTACTTTTCAAAAGAAAAATCTTTCAGTAAGAACTCTGTAAAATTCTGTGACAATGTCGCCGCGTCGCTGCAATACTGCCACGGGGGTGACATCTTCATCATAAGGTTAGAGAACAAGGACGGGATTTGACAAGAATTTAAATAATTATGGGTTGATATTAGATATCCCACCTCAATCCCATACAGTAAATTACAATTCAGCGATCTTTCACGACTCTTTCCTTTGCTGTAGTTGGTCGCAATTATTATTCTAGATTTCATTTCTTTTAAAATTTGTTACCTAAACTAAGTTAAAAATCATGTTTTTCATAATTTAAAATAATGCCAAAGCAGGTCGTTAAAAGTCGTATCCAGTATCCAGTATAGTACAAAAAAAAATAAAAGAACACCCAGCAGAAACTTTTGATAATAATGATCGATTTTTCACGTATTAGGAACTTATCTTAATGATTCGAGAGGGTGACCTCAAATACGCTAACTAATGAATACGAGCGATATTTTAAGTTACAAAATAAGACACAAAAATGAAATTTACTTTCTCTGAATAAGCGTACCTTTTTTTGTTGTTAACGTATTTGGATTTCTGATAGCCAAAATTTTTGCTCACAATTTCAAATAGCTTTTATCGCAAAAAATTTCATGCATATTATAACTTTAGTAAATATTTAGTATTTTTAATTATTTTATTTTAAAAATTGTCAAAAAGAATTTTGAACCGTACGGTATTTTTTAAATAATAATACGTATTTTTTAAATAATTTTGAAGAAAGTAATTTTACATACTTAAATACAAAATTTGATCAAAATCCATCGAATAGTCCCTTAGAAATTGAATTTTTCCCAACGGATTCCTGACTCTAAAAACTTTCAGAGGTAGCCGAAATCTAGAAAATATAGGACCAAAAGTTTGGTGGAGAGAGGGGTCGAAAACTCTTTAATGTTAATTCACCCTATCTCGAGGATTCTTTAAGCGAATCGAAGCATTTTTGCAAGCAATCTATCCAAGATACGGCGAAATACGCATAAACTAACATTAAGAGGTTCAACCCTTCTCCTGTCTAAACTATTGAGACCCTATTTTCCAGATGGCGGCTACACCTCATATTTTGAGGGTTAATAATCCGAATTTATTTAAAAATATATATGTTTATTCATAAAAGGTACGTTCTCGTGTTAGATTTAAAATATTGTCCGCTCAAAATAATTAGCATTGATTGAAACCGTGAAGATTGAGTCCTCGTACGTGAAAATCCGATTCTTAAATCAAAAGTTTCTCAGAGAACTCTTTTTTTTCCGCACTGTATATCTCAAAAACATTAAATACATAATTTAAATTTTATAGAATCCAATTCTGGTAAATCTTGAACTAAATAGCCATAAACTGCAAAGTGTTAGTTTCAAATGAGAAAAAAAAAAGAATGACTAGAAAAATTAAAATAAATCAACACTATTTTAAAATACAAACTATTAAAATATAATAAAATCAAAAGTATGCGCATCTAATAATGATGTATAAAAAGTTAAAAACTCTTTTACTTTTGGTTCCTTTGCTATGTGTTTCAGATATGTAATGAATCTCCTTAATATTAAAGACTTACATAACACATAACATACGGCTTGCAAAATATTTAAAGAAAACATACATTTTGTAAGTTTTGCCAACAATACTTACCTTAGTAACGTAAAAACATTAAATCTATACCTCAAGTGTTTTAATGGCACATAGAGCCAATTTTAGTAATTTTACAGCAGGGTGTTCTGTAATCACCTCCCTTTATTATTAGAATTCTTTTCTATGAAAGTCTGCAAGTTAGAAGTCGCAAATTAATATTTAAGCGAGGAAAAACGGTATCTAAAAATTTTGAATCATTACTGAGGAAGGCGACAACAAAAAAAATCAAAACAAAGATGATTTCCTGAGGAAACATGGTGCATCTTAAAGGTGATAATAAGTAACACATGCAAGTTTCAAATGACATTCATTCAACCTAGTGATTCAGTACACTACTAGAATTTCTTCCTGGCTTAAATATTATTTGATCTCTTAAATAAAAGATTTTTAATTTTCTTTATTAAAAAGTTTTTAAAAATATATATTGAGGGCGGTTGTTACAGAGCACGTTTTTTTAAGAAATATACTTTCTAAATATTTTGTGCTGGGAAAAAGTCTTTCAAGACGTATTTGCAATTTTAGTACCACATTTCTAAGAGCTAGAAAAGGCGCTTCAATGTTACTTGATTTACCCTCTCCGTTACCATGGTTGCAACAAATCTTTTTTCATCATTGCTGTTCGCCTCATGAAGGCAATTTTTTTAAAGGCTCCGTCGTCCTATCAAATGAAGCTTTTTTTTGCCATTAATACGCTATTGTCATAATTGCAATGAGTTTGCAACAGTTACTCATAACTGTTAGGTCAAGTTTAACCTATCTAAAGTCAGCACTATCTACGCTTATTATGAAAATGTCGCCAAACGTTAATATGGAGAAAAGCCATAGTTTTTTAAAAATGAGAAGCGTTTGAGGTCTAGTTTTTTTTAAATATTTAAGAACTGGCTGCAATGCTGCATTATTTGGGTTCATCAAGATTTGCAAGAACTGAGAATAAAGCAGTTATTTTCTTAATTTTCATCACGATGGAAAAATGGCGGCACATTAGCGATTTCTTAAAAAAATTTAATAACTTTTAAACTATTTATTTGTCTGTTTTAAAGGTCAGATAGTTCTTTAGGTCAAGATGTAGTTCAAAAATCATCGCTTTGCTTCAAGTGTCAGATAACTGTGGGTTTGTATTTACCTTGTGACGATAGAGCTTCGAAAAACCATGTTAAAAAGTAAGAATATTCTGGAAGAAGAAAGGGGAAAAAAACGAAACCATGGTAACGGAAATAGAGCTCCATGTGATGATATCTCCTTGAGATGCCTATTCTATTTATAGAGTCGTTTGATAATAATGATTTCAAAACTAAGAAGTAAGTTACGTTATTAAGGTAAGTTAGAATGATTTTAAAACAATAAAATTAAAATGGCGACTCACCTGGAAGAGTTCGAAAGGTGTGTTGAGAGATCGTGTGACTGATTTCAACATGCTGCTGATTGCGAAGAAGGACTTACCATACCTTCAAAGACATAAAAAAAAAAGATTAAAAGAATGAAAAGATTTGGTTTCTTTAAATGTACCTTTTTTTAAACTTTGAATTCTCGAATTGCACTCTAATTAAAACAAACAGTAAGTGACACGTTGAAAATTTCCATGTTGAAGAACAATTGAAATTATTTCCTGCCAAATAGTAGAGATATTTTTAGGAAGAGGACAGTGGCATCAGCCAAATAGATCATCCATTGGGTCAATTAAAACTAATATTAAAACTTTAAATCTGTCATGTTTAGTGTGAAAAATTCAATTTTTAAAAAATATTTTGAAATATTTTGCTGAAAAAAATCTATTTTATGAAGAATAAATTATGATCTAATGATTTAATAATCAGGTTTAAGGTTACTAAAATTTAAATATTCTTTACATTTAAAAACAAATAAAATCAAACGAACTCTATTACCATCAATACTTATTTATAAATAAAAATTTTTTAAAAATGATAAAAGTAGCAAGTCAATGGGTTACTTGCAATTCAAGACGAGGAAGATCTCCCAGATGACATATGACGTCAGCCAATCTTTATCAGCAAAGTGTCGCATTAAAGTTAATCTAAGTTTCTCTACATAAGTCAGAAAGTTAATGAACGATAAGTTGTTTAAATGCAGAGTCGTATCGCACATCGAATGAGTAGAAATATAATTCTTTTTCGTCTACTTCTTTTACCTAACTTAGATTTATTATTTGTTTACGTACTTTATTGTAACCGTGATATATTTTTGTTTTGTGTGCCTGGTAACTTCGAGGCATAATTTGTTTATGTTCCACATGACTTCGTGCCTATTTGGCGATTTTTAACTGATACAAACAAATAAATACCTTTTATTTCATTAATTTTGCTGCTTAGTGCATAACTTTTTTTTAAAATTTTTAATTCAATTACCATTGATATTAAATTATTTAGTTTCATAAGAACATGTTTTAAAAGTCTAACTATAAAAATAAACAAACATGTGGTTTTAGATAAGTTTAAAAAATACACCTCAGATGGCGTAGTTTGCTTACGTTGTCTATGTGCCACAGCTTTTGCTGTCTGCTTATGCTAACACGTACATTTTGATCACTTTATTTCATTTTGTCGTTAAACAGCCGACCTAATTTTGGGTTTACGGCTACTAATGTTCAACTCCGTATCCTTGCAATTTTGAACCCTAACCAGAAGACGAGGGAACTCCTGGATCAAGTATTAGGTTGCCTTCGTGGAGAACTTCTTGATAAAATTAACCGGCATTCACGCTACATGAAGAGGAAAACAGCGAGAATTTCATATGGTTTGCCTGACGGCAAGGGAACTAACCCATGATCAGTATATCACTGAGAATATTTTACGTGTTTATGGTCAGTGCGAACTATATTTGGAATTCGTATTGATCAGCCATCGCTGGGATTCGATCCCAATTCGCTTCATGGGAAGGCGAACGCCTGAGCCTCAACGGCTTTCATTTTGATCATTGAGCTTATCTGACATGATAAGCTTAATTATCGAAAAATAATTAAGTATTAAAGAACTTAAATAAACTTATTTTTTGATTAAATGGAGTTGTAAGCTAGCAAACATCACTGATGTTATCCTTAAAATACTTAAAGCAAAAGCGTAATTAAAATACTTGATAAAACAGAATTGTTTATAGTTGAATTTAAAACAATGGAGAGTCGTAACGACGATGTCAACCTTCATCTATTAAAAGGTACCTCAGGATAAATCAAGTTAATATGTCTTACATGATAGTGAAATGGAATCGAATAATTGTAGTGGTACACACGCTACAGTACCCACCAGAATTTTGTCTGCAACAGAATTCGACGAACGGATACCACAAGTTGATTCATTGCTGTTTTGTGATAAGCCGGGAGAACTGTATTAAGATCACCAGACTACATGTAACCAACTTTTACAACTACAGATTGTGAAGAAAAATTTTGAGCATTTATTGGATTTCTCGGCATCGCCTGCTGTTACAACTTTTTGCATCGTTTCCCCGTAATTTGTTCAGAAAATGTAAAAAAATAAAATGGTCGAAAATTAGAGTCCATCTATGTATTTTTTTTAAACAAAATATAGAAAAATATATCAACCAAACTTTTCCTGATTGAAGAATGCATTCATTATCCTCGTTTATTTTCGAGTCAAAACAAGCGATCTTCCCAGTTAAACCGAAGTCTGTTATTTATCGAAAATGGTACTTCATATCGAAACATAGTTGCCTCAGGATTTATTTTTTTTTGGTTAGAATTCTTATTAAAGTGACGCGTTGCTTTGTTAGGAGTTAATATTTATGAAAAAGATATTTACCTTTCAAATACAATATTCCACTTGTCTCTGATGTAATTGAATGTTATGTCTCTTCCATAAAGTTTAGATCCAACAGATCGGAAGACATAACTTCCATCCTGTCTACGAATGCCCGAATCAGAACTCAAACTCCAGTTTAGGTACCTAAACACAAATATCAAAGCACATTTTAGGCTAAATTTATGTCCACCTCAGAACACAACTAACTTTTAATCACTTTTTTTTTTAAAAGAATGAAAGAAATACTTTCTTAGAAAGCATAATTTTTGAAAAGTTATGCGATGTGGGATTGATAGTCATTTACAACGACACATTTGCCAGTCTTTAGATTTTTTTTCAAATATAATTTTATTAGAGTTTAAACGAATGAAATCTGATTTAGAAGAAACTTTAATTGCACACGAATAAAGATATTAATTATAAAAAACTTGAAAGCAAACAAAGGTATTATTTCAAGAAACGAAATTGTGTTGGTAATAGAAAAAACTGAAATATCTCAAATTGTAATTGGGCGACGGCACACATTCTGGTTTAAAAATGTTTATAAACAACACGAATGAGAAAATTAAACAATATATATGTTATCGGGAATGATCGAAATCGAGAGAATGTCGACTTTCACCAGTGAATGTCAGCAATCACATAGTCGCTTGGGTGAATGTCCGAAATATTTATTACATCCGATTTGATATTAATTTATTCGTTGATATTATTATAATTATTCGATATTTTAATATCTGCTGAGAGTAGATTAGGAGAAACATGAGTGTTCAGAGTACCGGTTAAATGCATACTGGGCAGTGGCACAGAACCTTTAAAAAAACATGGATGTAAGGCATACCGGGCAGTGACACTTAACTAGACCTAGTATATATTTCGATAGTAAACATTCACCGGTGGAAGTCAACAACCACCCATTTCTGTCATTTTCACAATATATAAAAATTCGGATAATGATTTTATGGTTGGTATAGCATTTTCTATTAATTGTTACATTTGTTTGTATGATAAGAAGGTTCTAATAAAGTAAGAACAGAGTTGGACAACTTACCTTGTGAGCAACCATGGTTCTTTGGCGCATGCCAATGAATACATGAATTTGTCTTTCTCAGATGCGATCTGAGCTTTCTTGTATTGCTCCCAGATGAAATTCCAAACATCTTCTCCGCCATTTTTGACCGCCGAGCAATACACTACGCTTCTCAAATTAGGAGGAATTCTGGAAAGGAAAAAAAAATTATTTGTCCTTCATAGGCTATTCTTTAGGGTGGATAGAACAAGTGTAACGTCTTCACTGATTTGACCACACAATGTCTTCTTCGAATGGCCAAACTTATTGGAAATTCTCCCCTGAAACCGAAAGTCTGTTTTTTTTCGTCAAATGTTTATTTAGTTATCAAGCATTTAAATTGTCCAAAAATGCCTTCGTAAGTGATGCAATCAAAAACAATCCCTGATTGTTTATGAATTGTGGAATTAAAATTATGCAATTATGAGTGAAATTGAAATCATGCAACCAAGGAACCACTGATCCTAAAGGACTGAAATTTCAACAGTATGCTTCCAAATCAATGAGCCTTTTTTGGCGTGGTAAAAGGAAAACTTTATATCGCACTGATAGATGGCGCTGTATAGAAAAGTCGGGAGACGAGTTTGAGCTCGACACGTGCACAGTGGCGATGTTAACGTTTTGGTTGTGTGTGATAACTTTTCTTTTTCTCAAAGTATTATTTATTGTTTTCGTCACATTGGGGATATTTTTAGTTTTTGTTAACTTAAAATCACACCGATAGATAGCGCTAACAGTATTTTCAACAGAGCCTAATTTATACTCACTGTCAATAAAATAGGCGTTTCAAGGTTATGCGATTTCCTCCTCCCCCTCTATCCGTCACTACGGTATCCACATTTCTTACTTTTCCCCAAGTCATTATACTCAGACTTCTTAAAAGGGAAAATACAATATCTTTCGCAACGTAATCATGAAAAAGGAGGGGGGCGAAGAATAGAAAATTTGTGTATAGTTTGTCGATCGAAAGAATTCTCTTCGCCATAAAGTCTGTTGCTATGGAGACGAAGAGATCTTCTTTCTCTCGCTAACGTGTCCTAACACGTTGACTGTCGCCTCACTCATATTCGGGTGATCGGACAGCGTTACCCATATTCGGGTGACAGCAAAGTTTCTGATTGGGCCGCCTCATTTATATTCGGGTGACAGCAAAGTTCCTGATCGGGCCGTCTCACCTGTATTGGTAGGGTGACGCTTATTTGACTACCTGCGTAGGATATTCGTATGTATTTGAAAAGATATTTCACAGGAAATAACAAAACTATGGATTGATATATAAGTAATACAAAAATGATTTATTAAGAAAATTATTGCGATCCTTGTTTCTTGTTCACTGCTATTTGACTCTCTAAGAAATAGGGATTTTTTAATCGAAATGTCAACGAATTAGGGTAAAGATTTTAAGTCCTTTTTACTCAGCAAAAATTCAAACTGATCGTGTAAAGTAGCAAGATGCGAAGCAACAGACACGATACCTTGAAAACAGACGGATATTATTCCTGGGATCACCAGAGACTCGCATTATTAAAATATCGGTGGAAGTTCTTAGCAGAATACGCTTCGTACAGCGGAACTCGTGGCTGGAGGAGATTTCACTGTAAATGGCTGTTTAATATTAATCCTATAGGAAAACGTCGCAACCATAGTCACCAGTCCAGTCGAATCTTTCCCAAGACAAACTGTATTTTATTAGCAAAGAGACTTACACGTTAGTGTTGGTGGGATCTCTTCTCCATTCTTCAAATTTTTGCTGCGCCGTTTTGATGCAGTCTGGATAATCATAACCGCACATCCATCCCACAACGGTCGTTCTCTTGTATCTGAAACATCACAACAGTTTATTATAGCAAAAAACAAAATATTTCGAATGAACAGGGCAGCCACAGAAAAAATATGAAAATAATTAGTAGTATATGAAAATCGTAAACCATTCCATATCATAAAATATTTATCAAATCCAATGAAAAACCTTTTACTTGGCTAGTGATCGGAGGGATTATTAAAGTAGACAATTAGGTCCGTTGTGTCAAAATGAAGTCTACCNACAAATCATAATTCAACTTGAAGATAATCTTCGTTTAAGAAAGCTAAAGCATTTCTTATGCATTTACCTTAGCCACGAAAACTTTAAACCCACTTATGAATTCAGTAAGGTCATCGAAATTTTTAACGTTGATTTACTTGTGATATTCTAATCAAGGAATCATAAAAACTAATCTTTGATTGCTTAGAACTGTTAAACCATTCCATATCATGCAATATTTATCAAATCCAATGAAAAACCTTTTACTTGGCTAGTGATCGGAGGGATTATTAAAGTAGACAGTTAGGTCCGTTGTGTCAAAATGAAGTTTACCCTGAACAACTTTTGATCTAATAATCGAATCTTCACGTATTTAATGTAATGATTCGAGGCTGGGGGGGGNGGGGGGGGGGGGGGGTAATCTGAAATATGCCATGTATAACACCGTTTTATGAAGATCCGTTAATTTGGGAAATATTTAGATTGTATTTACACTATTTAACTAAACTCTTGTATGAAATGATGGTAGCACATGTTTTAATGTTTCTGGATCATTGTTAAAAGTTTAAAGGCAAATAATTGAGTAATATTAAAATATTGACAATAGGGTGGTTTGTTTGCAAGATGTGTACTGGTGAAATATGAGTTCTTGTCGGATTTGATTGACACACTGGCTCACTCTTCTTTACTGATTCATAAAAAAATATTGATTGCGGTCAATTTTTTGTCCAGCCATTTCGATCTTTTAGTCGGATTGATTTGCCGAACTATTTACTTAAAATATTATAAAATTCGTGTATGCTAAGTTGCATAATAAAGATATTTTTATTCTCATATAAGATTTACATAATTCTACCATTTATATAAAACAATATTAAACTTCTATTCACTTCGAATTCATATTAATAGTCTGCCTGTGCTGTGTCTATGTTTGATTAACAAACTAATTTTATTTTAAGAATTAATGTACATATGCACATCCTAAATGTATTATTCTTGCTTTAGATTGTATCGTAAAAGTATCTTTACCGATTCTTATGTGTATCACATAGTATTATAACTATAAATGTTAGTGTTACTGAATTACAAACAGGGTTACTTTGCAAAAAGTAGTTTTAAAGAACATTCTAGATGTTTCATTACTCTTGGTTTTGGTGTAGTGGCACGCTTCGTGAAGCACTCCTTTGTCGTTAGGTATTTGCCTCCATTTTTGTATGAAAATCGCTTACAGTACATGTTTTCGACTCCGTATACGCATTATTTTAACCATAATTGACCAAATTCTTGCATTTGTTTTATAATCAGTTCTTTATCACAACATACAAATAAAAAAAACTTTCGTGATTTAGCTACTGCAGTGGCCGAGATAGCCTATGTAGCAGAGCACTGGACTAAAATGTAGTAATAGGTGAATCGATCGTGTTAAATCCGTCGGAACACAAAGTGCTCCATGTTCCTATAACAAAATATACCTCTGTGGGTTATGAATTAGAGATGAATCGTTCTCTGGTACAAGTCAAAATTACGATCTGAGGTATAAACGGGTGTGACATATGGCTGTGGCAGAAGTCGAATTCTTGGTCATAGATGGCGCAACTGGAAAACAAGAACAATCGCACCCCTTGCCTTAATAGCCTACGGCAGCAACAACAATTAGTGCAGACAATATTTTAAGTTACAAAATCAGACACAAAAACATACTTTCTCTGAATACACATACCTTTTTTTCGATTTATTCCATAGGGGGTACTATTAGTCGCAATCTAGGAAATATGGAGACCATACTTTGGTCAGGAGACCATTTCAAAGTTTGGACTCCCTAATATAAATTTTTTTTTGCGTATTTTGCTATATCCCAAAATTTTTTTAAGCGAATTGAAATTTTTTTTCACACAATTATAAAATTCATTTATGCAAAGATAATTCAATGAAAAATATTTTTCTCCGCAAATATTTATTCTTATTTTATTTAATAATGGTCGATAATATTTGAAACTGCAAGGTCATATAACATTTTTTACATCATTTCAAAGAATGCAATTTCATTTTGCCATGTAAAGTTACATTCTTTAAAATGATGTAAACAGATTTATAGCGTACAATTCAAAATATTTTCCAATATTAATAAATAGAATAATAAAACATAATAAATGCTTGCTAAAATTTTATTTTTGCATGGAATTCTTTACTTATAAATGAATTTTATAATTGTGTGCAAAAATGTTTCACTTAGCTTAAAAAGTTAAAGTACCAGAAATCCGAATATTTCGAGAAAAAGGTATGTTTATTTAGAGACAATTTTGTGTCTGATCATGTAACTTAGAATATCATCTACATTAATTATTTAGCATTTTAGAAGTAACCTTCTTAAACTTTTAAGAATGAGTCCTAGAACGCGGAGATCCAATCAATAGATCAAAAGTTATTTATGGTGGTCCATCTCTTATTTTGTTTCCTGCATACTAAATTAGGTGCGGATTTGTATAAGGTTCATATACATATGCATATAAACATTCCATCACACACACACACACACACACATATATATATATATATTTNCCAAACACTACAATAATTAATTTAGAATAAAATAATAGAACCAATTAATATTTCACTACCACCTTCGATGTATGTATGTAACATGAAAAGCTTCAATTAATCTCTTTATGCTATTCCTTTTCTGTAAATCCTTTTTTTAAACGCTTTCGCTCACACTTTTAAATTCATATCCTGTCTATTAATCTATTTTTGGTTTAAGTAAGCATTAATTAAAAATAAAAATTTTTTCCCTTTGTTCTTTGTGGGAATCGCGCGACTTATTTAATAAACGAATTACAATTACTAAGATTTCCCTTATTTTTTCAAATATTATTGGGAAATAAATAAAAAATATGAAAACTACAATCCGACTGAAACGTTCGATAACGAAATTAAGTCTCCCTAAAAATTTGAACCAGCCTAAAATAACCTGAATGTTCCGGGAAAAAAATAGCTTTCCCGTGTAATAAATAATAAGAGAACTTGCTCGTGTGTTGAAACACATGGGGTGTATTTTCGGTGAAAATAAAAGGGATGATCGGTTGCCAGTTAACAAACAAATTTTTACTCGCCAATTTTTATACTTGGTCGTCCTGCGATCGGTGGTTAATTTTACCCTACACAGGATGAAGAAAAAAAGGTTTTTTTATGAATGAAAAACAATAATTGAATTAACACATAATTCGTAAAATATTATTTCGACTTTAATACAACTGGAAACTAAAGTGATTGTTTTATAAATCAGTATAATCCTTATCGACTGTGAGAAGGAATTATTGACCCATAAAAAGGCATTCAACTACTCGATTCATTTCGTACGTCTGTTCATATCTTATGTCCAAAAATATTTTTTTTCCAAAAATTGATACTTACTGAACTAATATATTTTCATCTGAATTTTCGTTCCAGCCAAGGCGTTCATACATAGGTTTCAACTGTTCAACCAAATAATTCTGAAAGATAAACCATTTCAAAAAATTTGCATGTGAAATTTTTTTCCCGCGTTGTCAGAAGGAATTGAAATATCAAGCGAGTGAGGGGTCATGGAGCATGAGCGCTTAAACCTACAACATATTTCATTTCTATATTTGATGTGGTAGTAAAATTTATATTTTATTGTTCTTGAAATAAATGCAGTTTAAAATAATTTTGACAAACATTACGTTTAAATAATTATATATGGTACACTTGCTGGTTCTTTAAAAGTATTTTTAAGTGTTGACTAAATTTTATTAAAATATGAGCTTACAATGTGAATTTAATTTGATGTTCCCTACTAAGAAAACACTTTTTTAAAAAGCGTGAAACTTGGAGGTATCATACTTAGACTACAAATTTACAAGTGAAAATTTTTCAAACTGAGCTGTAAGTTGTACAAAAATGTTAATTTGGACGTCTAGTTTCTGCCACACTAGATGGCAGCACCGAGACTCTATTTGGATGCTAAAGTGCACCAGGAATTTAATTTTTCTCCAGGGATCTTTTACATGCCGCATAATCATACGACATGGCCGGGGAGGATTTTCTGCATCCCGAGAATCCGGTGTCTGGGCCGGGGATCAAACCCGCAGACTTGGGCTCAGAAGGCCTACGACAAACCAACTGCGCCACCCAGCCACACGTTAAAAAGTGATTACTCTTATTTGGAATTCGTTTCCGAAACGATATGATATTAAAAATATCGTTATTTGAAAAACCACGTAAAAAATATCGTATACACGAAAAACAGCTACCGATAAATCGGTCGCAAAAGGTAGATGGAATTAGTCACAAAGTCATTACTCAAATGCACAATATCGCAACTACATTGCATTAAAAAATCGGAATTTGGAAAAACTCTGTCGATCGAAAAACGACGTGGGTCACCTATAGGTTTCAGAACAGTCTCAAAATAAGCGCGTTAAAGAAATAATTATTCAAATGTCGCAATAACACCTGGTTAAAAATATCACATTTTGAAAAACCATGCAGAAATGGCCGAAGAAACGATAATTAGCAGTCGAAAAAAGGAAATTGTCGCGAAACGATCGGGTCAAAAAGTGATAAGTACTCAGACACGAAACTCGTGTTTCCTAATAACATCGTATTTAAACACTGCAATTTTTAAATTGCATGTGGCAGAGATTGCAATAAATATAACGCTGATTATAGCAATCAACAGAAGATGACCTTTACCAACGTGTATATTTAATTTTATTTCAAATTTATAACCGTCGTTGAACAGTCGATCCTATTATTCTAAGTTTAAGACTACCAACTCCAAAGCCTTGTAATTTTGAACAAAATCCAGAAGACAAGGGAACTCCTGGATTAAGTATTGGGAGAAATTTGCCGTCGTGGAGGACTTTTTGATGGAACTAATCCACATTTACGTTACATGGAGAGGAAAAGCACGAGAACCTCCCACGGTTAGGCCGACGGCAAAGGGTCTCTAACCCATGATCCACCTACCACTGAGGATATTTCACTTGAGCACTGTGGTCGACGTAAGCCCGATGCAAAATGAGTATCGACCAGCCATCACTGGGATTTGAACCCGGTTTACTTTATTGGAAGGCGAACGCTCCATCCCCTGAGCCATCTGGGAATCGAATGTAGGGAAATTGTTTCATGCATTATTTGTGCCAAATGTTATTGCTCATAAAAGTTCGATTAACGGCATCGGAAGTTCAATCTTGGCCGCCAACTCAACAATCGGCGAGTTTATGCAGCAAAATGCTCACTGAGTATGTCGTGGCTGAAAGTTTTTTTCGTTGGTTGTGGCGCGGAAGTTAGGAGAGGGGGGTACTCACTCAGACACTGTCCCCGTCATCTAATTGGGTTCAAAGTTGCGAAGCATTTCGGCCATAGCTGTTTAACCCTGAAAATGGGGCTAGGTGCTTAACCATGGTTAAGTTATGTGTGCCAATCCGTATATTGTCTTTCCCGTAAACGATAAATGATTGTATCGTAGGGGATATGATCGTAAGTCGTTCTCAGAAACGATGAAATTTAGAAGAATGCTGGCTTGTTTCCACAAAGGACACATCATTGAATCGTAGTGAATCCGTATCATGTCTTTACCGGAATAGGATGGAAACATCACCTAACGATATGAGATAACGACTAACTCAATAAAAAAGAAGAGACTTACTTTCCATTTTCCGAAGACAGCACTCCTAGAGATCATGGAGTCGATGAAGGAGAATCCGTAGAGAGCTGCTTTCCAAGGTAAGTAGTCATCCTCTTCCTTCAAGTAGAGGGTCATATTGAGTGCCAAATGGTAATCTATGTGACCCGCCCTGTACGCAACAAATTGTTATTTAGACACACTCATTTGGATTACATACACAATTCGAATGATTATATTCACCGCTCACATTCATTCTACTTAGGAAAGTAATTAAAAGTTTTGCAATGGAGCATACTAAAGAATGAAATTAGTAAATAAAGTATAAATAGGCTTTAAAAAATCAGATTTAATTAAATCTACCAATTTCTATCGCTTGCAATTTTATGGAACAAATTTTGTGAGATTTTGCTACAATGTTTGATTTTGAGTCAAGTTTTGTCGCTGAATTTGAAACATCTTTCTTTTCTTTCCTTCCAGACGCGGATACGTACCTAGGTTAGAAAAACCCTTACCCGTATAAACCGCGTCTGGCCACTACTTTCAGCCAACCTCAATCAATTATTTAAAGTTTCAAAAGAAAGGAGGTTAAAATTTTGTTTACAAATATACAGAAATATTAATTTGTTTACAAATATATAGAAATACTAATTATTTTTTAAACAAGAATTTTTTTATATATATGACATATAGAAAGTGGCAATAAATGAATTTTGAAAAGTAAATTAATATAAAGGAAAAAAAGGTTAATAAATTTTTTTTTTTAGTTCTCCATTAAAATTTTGATTTCCAGGTATTAAATAATAAAAGAAAGTAATTAAAATGTTATAATAATAAATAAAAAATTAAATAGAAAAGATATGTACAGTATTTACAACATATAGGTAAACATTCCAAAATATATAGTAATTTTTTTTTTATATTTAAAATTTTAGAATATTATCATTATCAGAAAGAAAATTCATTACTAATAATAATTTGGTTTTAAGTGCATTGTTAGTTATGAATTGTTTTTGCCGAGTTGGTAGATTAGTGATATTCGATGCACGAGTATGCCATGAAGCTGTGTAGATGCATTCCGTAAGATAGTGTTCTGGAGTGCCCAGAAGACCGCACGTGCAGTGATCATTATCTGAGATGTTTAGATATTTAAAATAACATGGAAAAGGACCATGCCCAGTTAGAAACCAGATTTCTTGTTTTGATGGTATCGTCTTAAAATAATCTNCTGAACTAGATCCTATAATTCTTCCTTTCACTAAATATCAAATATTAGATAAGATAAAGCGCATGATATGAGCGCAGTGTCTCCAAACAAAAAACGTATGTACTATTAAATGATCTTCGTAACTCTTTGAAATATAATATTCGTTTATTTAAAAATAATAGCTCATGATTTCTGTTGAAGCATACGAAAAAGTAATTACCTTGCCAAGTCAAGTGAATCGTCAATTATCTGCGCCCTATTCACAGGATGTATCACCTAAAAGAAACAAGAAACAATCTGCAGAGTTTCTTTATACAACAAATCTAAGTAAAATTAGTTAGTCTCCATTGGCAACACTAAAAGCTTTCTGTTTTAATGGCGGGCATTTTGTAACTGATAAAGGAAACGATAGGTTTGTGATATTAATGTATTTAGTCTATACATGACATACCTTGTGTATACTGTACTCAGATGAAAAAAATGACACTCATATTCTGCGCCTTTATGATACGGTCACATTAAGTTAGCATAGTTTGCGTCCTGCAAACAATTTTTATTCAACTCATTTCAAAAACTACAAAGAATATAAAAACACGCTTCGCAATAAACTATATAAAAAAACAGAACTAGTTTATCAAGAATAGTGAATTAGAGATCTTCCAAACATAAATATTCTTATTTATTAAAAAAAATTAGTCACGAAAGCTAATTTAAAATAATGCCTTCAATTCTCCAGTGAGTGAAGTTAGGCAACACTTTTTACTGTGTTATTATAGAAATTCTAACATTCTTCGAACAAAATTAAAAACGGATTGAAAATGTTTGGAAGGAGTCGCATTTTTCAATTTTATTACCTTAGTTGAAAAATGTTTTGTATTATTGAAACAAAAAAAAAAAAACAATATTAATCTTAATAAAATCTGCAGGATGAACAACTGTAACGATTGTTTTTTTTCGGTCTATGAATTTGGTAGCTAAAATTATTCATCAAAAACTTTTTGTAAATATAAGTTCTGAAAAAAAAACGAGAATATAGATACCTAATATGGAGATGTGCAGTTTTTGTGATGTCCACTTTTGGAGAAAACAAAAAATTTTTTATTTCCTAAATATTTCTGTTTTAATGTATGTAGATTTACAGTGTCAAATACCGGGACACATTTTAAACAGGGCAAACTAGGTAGCATATCCTATAAGATTAATCTTTGGAGGCGGGGTAAGCTGTAGAGAGTTTGGGATGGATAATCCCTTGAACTTTGTTCAAAATAAGAAGAGCTAACGGCAAACTGAAGATGAAACCCTCAATTTTTTCTAAAAGTTGCCGATGGTTCAGGGGATAGAGCGTTCGTCTCCCAATGAGGTGAACCGGGTTCGAATCCCAGCGCTGGTTAGTCAATACGAATTCCGCATCCGGCTTGCACCGAACACGGTGCTGAGGTAAATACCCTCAGTGATAAGCTAATCATGGTTTTGAGTCCCCTTGCCATCAGGCTAACAGTGGGAGGTTCTCGTGGTCTTCCAATTCATATAACTCAAATGCGGGTTAGTTCGATCAAAAAAAGTCCTTCACGAAGGAAAATTTCTCTCAATACTTGATAAAGAAGTTCTTTTTCTGGATTGAGTTTTAAATGACAAGGCTGAAGAGTTGAACCTTAGTAGTCCCAAATTTGCGTCGGTTGTTCAGAGACGGTTATAAAATAAAATAAAAGTTACAGAAATATAAATTATTGCAACAAAAATGATTTTTCCAAAGTCAGTACACACCTCCAGCTGATTTCAAGCAGAGGGCACACAAACGAGAAAATATAGAATAACTTATCTGTATCTACACAAAATGGGGTTTCCCCACTATTCAAATAAAGCCTTCGTAAATATTTAATGGCCACACTAACAAAGATAATATTATGTGGTACTTTCTATTAAAGACCAAAAGAAACTTTATAATATATTGTAATTGTAATTTGAGTTTAGCAAACTTGTCAAATAAACGCTTTAAATTGAAAGACAAATAAATATTTTCAGAAACGATTAAAGTCTCGCCTGCAAAATACAAAAAATACTTATATAGGGTTGTTTATCCATCAAAAATAAATGCCAAAAATAAGTTCAGCAATGTTCGAGACTAAAACCAATGGAATGAAGAAAAAAACAGCAATCATTGCAATCTTAATCATATCTATATTTTCATAATGCGATTTGTGACAGAATCATTCATTCAAATCTTTTAAGATCATCGAATTGACTGATATATATGTTCAACTCCTTTTATTCTTAAACCAAACCTAAAAGACAAAGGGAATCCTGGATCAAACATTGGTNCTACACAAAATGTTGTTTTCCCCACTATTCAAATAAAGCTTTCGTAAATATTTATTGGCCATACTAACAAAGATAATATTATGTGGTACTTTTATTAAAGACCAAAAGAAACTTTATAATATATTGCAATTGTAATTTGAGTTTAGCAAATTTGTCAAATAAACGCTTTAAATTGAAAGACAAATAAATATTTTCAGAAACGATTAAAGTCTCGCCTGCAAAATACAAAAAATACTTATATAGGGTTGTTTATCCATCAAAAATAAATGCCAAAAATAAGTTCAGCAATGTTCGAGACTAAAACCAATGGAATGAAGAAAAAAACAGCAATCATTGCAATCTTAATCATATCTATATTTTCATAATGCGATTTGTGACAGAATCATTCATTCAAATCTTTTAAGATCATCGAATTGACTGATATATATGTTCAACTCCTTTTATTCTTAAACCAAACCTAAAAGACAAAGGGAATCCTGGATCAAACAATGGTACATGTTCACTTTAGCGGAGAACTTTTGAAAGAAATTATAACCATCATTTTATTTTATAACCGTCGTCAATTTTTCAGATTTACGACTACTAATGTTCAACTCAGTAGCCTTGTAACCTAATCCAGAAGAATTTCTTTATTAAGTATGGGAGAAATTTTCCTTCGTGGGAAACATTTTGATGCAGCTAACCAGCATTTGCGTTACGTGGGGAGTAAGACCACGAGAACCGCCCGCGGTTACCCTGACGACAAGGGGACTCTAAACCATGACCCGCTTACCACTGAGGATATTTTACGTCAGCACTGAGGTTGGTGTAAGCCGGATGCAGAATTCGTATCGACCAGCCATCACTAGGATTCAAACCAGGTTCTCCTCATTGGAATGCGAACGCTTTATCCCCTGAGCCACCGTGAGTCTATGACCCATATCGGAGTAAAATGGATATCGCAAACAGTTAACCTTTGCGTTTAGCCCAACAAGACATAATCCATCTACCCCTGGTGATTCTTTATGCTAGCAACTGTGCCTCGTTCAACATTTTTTTCTTAAATTGTATAATCGGCATTGAATATCTGATCTTAATTCTTAATTTACGACTACGAATTTTCGGTTCTGTAAACTTGTCAGTTTGAGTTCAAAACAGAACACTCCTGGATTAAGTATCTATATTATATAAAACGCTAATACGTACGTATGTATGTATGTATGTATCAATAAAACCGATGATATTTCTTTTCTCGCGCTGGCAACAGTTTTCGTTTTTAATTGATTGGATTCGGCGCGCAAGAGCACGTTGTGAGCAAAATTAAGGTTTAGAACTGCTTCGGAGAAATTTGAATTGTTAACAATGCTTAAACAAAAAGTTTTATTATAACTGATAAATACTATATTATAATTTGAACTTTTTCTATGACTATACTCATTTTCTTACTCTTTGTTTTTTATACATTTTATATTTTTGTGATAAAATAAAGAACTTATAGTTTTTCTGCTTCTGAACACTGATGAAAACGCAAAATGATGGGCTTCATCAACAATCAAAAATATATACATTTATTTTACAAATTCCATATTAGGGTGGCGCCCTTCAGAGAATTAAAAATACAAAATTATCTCTAGCTAAGCCGATGCTTTACATCCGGCGTTCAGTGGCAGACTACTATTTCATATTGTTTTACAACACATGGCTTTAGCCCTCTGGTGGGAAGGACTTTAAAACAAAACTTACAACAGTTACTTTTCTCAACAACTGAAATNTAGGATTCAAACCAGGTTCTCCTCATTGGAATGCGAACGCTTTATCCCCTGAGCCACCGTGAGTCTATGACCCATATCGGAGTAAAATGGATATCGCAAACAGTTAACCTTTGCGTTTAGCCCAACAAGACATAATCCATCTACCCCTGGTGATTCTTTATGCTAGCAACTGTGCCTCGTTCAACATTTTTTTCTTAAATTGTATAATCGGCATTCAATATCTGATCTTAATTTACGACTATGAATTTTCGGTTCTGTAAACTTGTCATTTTGAATCCAACCCAGAACACTCCTGGATTAAGTATTTTTATTTTATATCGGTCGTTGATCCAGACGGGAATGGCAACAGCTCTTCGAGTAAGAAGGTTGTGTTTTTGTTAGCGAGATTCGTTTACAAGTAAAAATGCAGTAAATAGTCAATTCTGAGGAATAATTTGTGTAATAAAGTGTTTAATATCGTCTGAGAAGCATTGATGAGGTATAAATTTGTGAATTTGAATAATAATTAGTGAAAACCTGAACTTGTGTTACTTGCGAGACTTAACATGGCGGCTAACTGAAGTGGGTGTTTTCTGGCGAAGTAAATTATTGATGTGGATATCTGGTTGATGCTGCATCAACACTATCAAGGTGAATATAGTGATAGTTCTCGGAAGGCCACAAAGATAATGAATGTGAGGAGATACCATTCTGTCATCATTGCGACAGAGTAAACAAAAAACACGTATTGTCTTTAGATGTGGAACACTCACCTTTTAACAAGCAATGCAATCAATATGTGAGAACCCAGAATAGACAAGCGAAAAGAACAAACTATGAACAGTGACAACAACACAGGTTTGAAAAGAGGACATATAAACTTACATCACACATTGTCAGCAAACATACAACTTAATGAGGATTTTATTAATCTGGATATTAGTATAGTACGCATTAACGAGCCTTATTACAACCAAACTTCAGACATCAGAGGATTCAACGCCAGGAATAGGATTTATTACCGAAAGGACTCACCGAGATCGGCCAGCCATTATGCTGAGGAGTAACCTGATTAACGATTTCCCAGTACTTGTAGCTGGAGACATTTATGCGATCACATTTAAACATGGAAATAATGAATATCTGTTTATTTCTATCTATTGTTCACCCAACGAGGATATTGAGACCAATCTGGAGCTACTTGAATCTGTGCTAAGCAAATATAGGGACATGGATACAATCTTGTGTGGGGACTTCAATGCCAAGTCTGTTGCTTGGGGCTCCAGGAGCGATCACAGAGGAGACCTTTTATTAGACTACTTATTACGAAACAATCTAGACATAGTGTACGACCCAGGCTGCCCGCCTACGTTCAATTCAGTACTTGGCCAAAGATGGATCGATGTTATTGCCAGTAACATTAATGAAATCAATAACTACAAAGTTCACGAAGGAATAACTTGCTCTGATCAAGAACTAATAATGGCAGCAATTGATAGACAACACCAAAACAGCAGAATTCATAAAGCAAAAATTGATTTCCGTAAACTAGATTGGCTTTCCTTGAAAATTGAACTCAATAAAATAATTGAGAGAAATAAAATTATTGATACCTCAAATAAAACCAACTTCAACAAACAGATTGAAGACATCACAGAAGAGATAGTCAACGCTTGTCAATTGTCAAGAAGAAAATTAACAATAAATTATAAAAAACACTACTCCTGGTGGACCCCAGATATCAACACTATGAGGATATCATACTTGCCAACTTTTCCGGATTTTCCGGAAGATTTTATTTTCATATTTAAAGTGGTAGTAAATATATACTATTTTTTCTTTTATGAACTTAATTTTTAAATGATTTTGATCACCACTATTCTTACAAAAATTAAGCACATATATTAATATGCGTTACTATCAAGGTTCTCAACTTAAGTTTTTTCAAATGCAACGTATTTGTTTGCTTAAAATTGAAGTTTTAATTTCATTTTAATACCACTGGGAAAAATGATAATGAAAGGAATTAAAAGTTGGCAGGTATGGGATATATGTTAGAGCACTGAGGCGCAGGTATCAGAAAACAAAAGACAATAACATCAGAATGAACTTTAAAATAAAGTACAAACACAACTAGGCGAAATACAAAAAATTAATCAAGAAAGTTAAAACTGACCATCTCAAGTCATATCTTAGCAAACTTGGCACAGACGAGGCGTTTGCGGCCCCTTACAAAACTTCAAAGGGAGCAAATATAGGCAGATCATTGAATCACGCTGTTTTTGATGGAAACAATGTTTTAACAACTGATTGCACAGGAAATATCAAAACGATTATGGCACATCACTTTCCTGAACGTCAAGACGACACTGTAGCACTTCTGACTGGTAACATGATGGACCCCCCCCCATTTACACTGAGGGAACTGGAAGCTGTAATTAGAGATATGAGATCAAACAAGNTTCTCAAAATCTCTTGGGGATACTATGTGTGTAAAGAGAGTTTACATGCCACCGGGACCTGATGGGATACCCAACGAAGTCATCAAAGAACTTTACTACACTAATAAGTCTTGGCTTCTGGAATTCTTTAATCACAGAATTCATGAGATGTATATCCCGGACAGTTGGAATCTAGCCAGGGTCGCTCCAATAGAAAAACCTAACAAGGACCTTAGGCTACCGGAAACATATAAACCTCTGTCCCTGCTTCCAGTATGGGGCAAAGTACTAGATAAATTAATTACTAAGAGACTGACATACTACTTGGAAAAAAAATAAGCTCTTACGCGAACAACAATATAGATTTAGAACTGGAACTCAGAGTGGTAGTGGGCACTATCCAACAGGCAAAACTCGAAAAAAGGCACACTATAGGGGTGGTCCTGGACATTAAAGACGCCTTTGACAACGCCGACTGGGTAAATCAACTCGATATTCCCTACAACAGTGTTTCCCAAAGTGTGGTACACGTACCCCCAGGGGTACGGGAACGGTTTAGCGGGGGTACGCGTTTAAATACGATATATCTTGCAACAAACGAAAATTTCAAAACTTTTTTTTCCAAACAAAGCTGGCCATGAAAATTTACGATTACGTATTTCTCTATTGGCCATTTTTTGCAGAATTAACAGTTAATAATTAGTGGTGTCAACAACCAGTTGTGATTTTAAACTGTCGTGCAATTTTTTTATCGTAAAAAATACATTCTTTTTTTTTTATTAGTGGTACATAGCGTTACGAAAAATTTAGAAAGGGTACACAAAAGTCATAAGTTTGGGAAACACTGCCCTACAACATAAAAAGCATCATTTTCAGCTTCCTTAATAATAGAGAGGCAATTTTTGTGGACTCCAGTGGTAAGGCAGTAGACAAACGTAACGTCAAGTTGGGTGTCCCACAGGAATCCTCACTGGGACCCATTTTATGGCTCATATATATCAATACTATTTTCAGCCATGCTTTTAACATAGATTTTAGTGACTTCAATGATTTTAATCAACGAGATTTTAAAATTATTGTCTTTGCAGATGATTTTTTAACTACTCAGTCACACTATTTTATACCGATTTGACCTATTGGTGACTCACATTCTTGCAGAAATGTCGGCGTGGGCAGAGTTAAACAAACTAACTTTCAGTGAAAATAAGACCAAGGTAATTATTTTCAACAAAAGCAATAAAAAAATTGGCAGAACTCCTTGTATCAAGATGGATCGTAACAGCAGCATCAACTTGAAAGTGGTCAATACACTCAAATACCTTGGCATAGTGTTCGACTTGGTCCTGACATGGATGCAACACCTTAACGATATCAAAGATAAACTTACTAATTTCAATCAAATAATTAGAAGAGTCGCCAGAGCTACATGGGGACTTAGCCCATACATTCTAAAGAAAATATATCTCCATCAGGCAAGCGAAAAAATCATACTATATGCGGCCAGTGTCTGGTACAAGAACACTACTAAAATGAATGATAAATTAAAATCTCTGAAACACATACCTCTTTTAACAACAACTAAATGCTATTCTTCAGTTAGTAGAGATGCTCTCCAGATTCTGGCCGGAGTTAAACCCACACACCTCAAATTAATTGAAACCATTTATACAAAGAGAATCAAGTGGGGCTGGAGGAGAGAAGATTTGTACCAAATAATCCCATAAATCATCTGTAACAACCTCGCAACACAAAACAATATACCAGCACCAGCCCCAACCCATCCAGATGAACAGGTCGTTTTGCCTTGGGGATATAGTCCACCACGTAATTCCGGCAGTGAGATCTACACAGACGGCTCTAGAATGGAGGTCGAACCCAAACAATTTAGAACTGACTTTGGTGTAATATTTAAATATGATGGAAGTACTGTTCACCAGACCTCACCCAGAGCGTCTGACCACTGCTCAATCTTTGAGGTCGAGCTGATGGCAATTCGTGAAGCCATAAGATGGACACAAAACAAGGAAAGCAAGTTTAGTATTTTCACTGGTTCGCTCTCCTCATTTCATGCCCTAGCCGACCCCTCTTACAAAAACACTACAGTAATTGAAGTTTAAAAAAAACTATGTCATAAAGGTATTACTCTTAATTGAACAAGAGCTCATATGGGGACACGGGGTGATGAGGAGTCGGATCGAGCAGACAAGGAAGCCACCAGTCTCGACCGAGTGGATTTCACTGCCCAACTTGCCCATGTACAGGTCAAATCGATAATCAATGAATGTGCCATGACAAGGTGGAAAAGCGAATGGACAAACAACACTAAAGGGACGTCAATCTTTTAAATTTTTTTAAGATCCAAGGGTCACCAGACTGCAGACAGATTTTTATCTAAATCAATTTCTTACAGGCCATGGTGTGTTAGGTAATCATCAATACCACCTTTTCGGGAGATGCCCAAACTGTAACTTCTGTGGTGAATTCCAGGATATAAAACATCTATTACTTGACTGTCTGGAATTCCAGACGTGTCGTAGCACTGACTTTCTAAATAAAAATACTGAACATCAACTCTTTTCTAAATGGCCTGCAGGAACACTATCAAATACATCATCAAAGTGCCCCTAGAGAATATTTTAGACTGTACTTAAACTATAATACTTGAACTATTACTTCTGAACTTTGACTGTCCCGTCACCGTGCCAACATTTTAACTTTTTATTTATTGATTTTAACTATCGATTTTTAAAGTTTACACCTGCTTTTATCACCTTACACCTGCTTTTATCACCTTATCTATTTACACGACAATGTTGGTTCTATATTTGTTGGATTTTATATGATTCGTCAATTTAATATTTTACTATTTCACCCAAGTTTTAATTTCCCATAGATTTTAAAATTGCTCATTTTAGTATTTGTAGTTAAATTACTTTTAGGATTTTACTTGTTTTGGGGCTTTTTCCAGGTTTTAAATTTCACTTTTGTACTATAGCTTAATATTAATCTTACTCCCCCGCCTTGTTCATGAGCTGTTGCCATGTAGGATATGTATTTTATGTTTTGTACTGACTTTTTGGATTTTAATAAACATTTACCCGTATGCCCTAAATAATTGCAGGTCGGGGTAAATCGTTGAACAGCCGACACAATTTTTGTGTTTACGACTACTAATGTTCAACGCCGTAGCCTTGTAATTTTGAACTAGTTCAGAAGACAAGGAAACTCCTGGATCAGTACCCCCAGAAGTATTGATTTGTAAGGGGAACATGGAGGACTTTGCAACTCGACAGATTTAACGTAATCAGTCACCATTTACTACACGGGGAGTCTTCGGCCGGCGGGGATCCAATCCACGAACTCTTGGACATAGGCCCAGCGCTCCACCGACCAGGCTTTCGTGGAAGATTTTCGATGAAACTAACCCGAACTAACGTTACACGGTGAGGAAAACCACTGAAAACCACCCGCACAACAAGGGAATTTTAAATGATAATCCGTTTACCGCTGATAAATTTATACGTTAGCATGGCGTTCAGTGAAAGTTAGGAGCAGAATTCAAACCGATTAACCACCGCATGGTTTCAAACCTGGAAGATCAGTGCTTTATCCTCTGAACCACCACATTAGTCACCCATAAACCTTTGAAATGTATAACATACCTCGTGGTTTTCCAGGAATTGCTTGATGAGTAATTTCCAGTTGTGGTCATCGTAGTTGACTCTATAGTAACCGACCTCTTGAATGTTGCCCACTACCCAGTGGTCAGCTCCAGGTAAACCTTTGATGCTTCCTATGAAATGAAAAAAAAATTGAGATAACATTTAAAAAACAGCAACAAAACAAAAAGAATTTATATCAATAAAATGAATAGTTTCTCTCACAACTCCAGAACCTTTTACGTCCTGAAATTTCGACAGTGGATAAAAAGGAGCAACTTTAGCCCCCCGATCCTAAAATCATTCAAAAATTTCAAAGACTTATGAAAAATGGAATTTTTTTCATTGGTTGCCGACTGTTTCCATGCCAACTAACCCTTACATTTCAACACGTTGACTGCCGTTTCACTCATATTCGGGTGACAGCAAAGTTTCTAACCGGGCCGGTTTATTAGACTGCTTGCGAAGATGTATTTGGAAAGACACAAAACTGCACTGGAAGTTACAAAACTATTGAATTGTTATAAAAGAGATACACATCTGATTAATTAAGAAAATTACTGTGAGCCTCTTAAAAGCTTTCTTGTACTTTTCTATTTGACTCACTAAGAAATAAGTTTTTTCTTTTCGAAATTTCAACGAAATCAGGTAAAGATCCTCTTTTCTCGGCAAAGATTCAAACTGATCGTGTAAAGTGGAGCAGTCAACGTGTTAATCGATAACATTATTGATGTCTCATTAAAGAAGTGCTTTATTATTTAAATATACCTTATTCGTTATAACTTAAGTGGTGGTGATCAGTGCACAAAAAAAAAAATAACTTCAAGCTCAATCTTGTTGATTCGAGAGGGTGATTTCAAATATGCTAATTAACACGTGTAGACGAATTTTTAAGTTACGAATTCAGACACAAAAATGTTCTTTCTTTGAATAAACATACCTTTTTATAGAAAGATCCGGATTTCCCAAACTATATGTGGTAGATACAATCTGGGAAATAGGGCCCCAATAATTTAATCAGATGAGTGGTTCGAAGATTGAACCCCTTAACGCTAATTTTTTCTTTCTGCGTATTTTGCCATATCTCGAGAACTTTTCAAGCGAATTCATAAAATTTTGCACACCATTTTAAAACTAGTTTATCGGTAGTTCAACGCAAAATTTAACTTTTAGTAAATATATAGTATTTTCTATTATTTTACTTAATAATTGGCACAAAATTTTGAATTGTAAGGTATACAATTTTTCACATCATTTTAAAGTATGCATTTTTACATGGCAAAATACAAAATCTGAGCGAAATTGGTTAAATAGTTCCTGAGAAATGAAGCTAAAAATTGTATTCTTAAAAATCAATTTCACAGGAGCTATTCGACCAATTTTGATCAAATTCTGTATTTTAATATGTAAAATTACGTTCTTTAAAATGATTTACAAAATTGCTTACCGTACAGTTCAAAATTCTTTTTGATAATTATTAAATAAAATGATACAAATAGTAAATATTTACGAAAGTTATAATTTGCATAGAATTTTTTTTGGATGAACGAGTCTTAAAATGGTGACCAAAAATTTTTGAATTCCCTTAAAAAATTCTCGAGATATTTTGAAATAAGCAAAAAGAAAAATTAACATGAAGGGGGTTCAAACTCTCCTGACCAAACTATTGGGATCCTATTTCTCTGATTGTGGCTACCCCCCCACCCCCTATATTTTGCGTTTATTCAGAGAAAGTATATTTTTGTACCTGATTCCGTAAATTTAAAATATCTTCTGCACAAATTATTTAGTATATTTGAGGCCACTCCATCGAACCATCAAGATAGATTCCTTGAACGTGAAGATGTTATTAGATCAAAAGTTATTCAGGGTATTCCATTTTTAATTTTGCGCACTGTACTTCAGTATTTCTAACCAACTGTTTTTATTTCTGTGTATAAACTGTGTTTCTATCAAGCTAAATAATTTAAAATCAACGGCAAATGGAATTATGTACTAAAAAGCAGAAAAAGTGCCGTTTAGGAGAAGCGTAAATATTCGCCCTACTCTTACTGACATCAATGCTGCCTTATGGTATTAGACACTATTATGGTCATTGGACCAGTTTTAAAAAAATATAAAATATACTAATATTACAACACATTATTTTCCTAATAAACAATAATGTGCCGCTTTAATACAGATACTGTAAAAAGAGGATTTTTCAATTGATTGTGGTACCTATCATGAGTGGGTCTCGATCAAAAGAGCATCATAGTAATCTTTATTTTGATCGGTTAAACTACTGAAAGCGTCTTTTTCTCAATCTAGTAACGTAAAGCCACCGATAAGGGAAACAAATAATAAATAAGAAACTAAATAAAAATAAATAAAACTAGTTAATGAAAATACAATAATGAATGAATAATATTATTTAGTGTGCTGGTCTCTCAGTTTTGTAATGTTGTTCAGCACAGATCGACTGATTTTGTTTTCACGAAGAGCAGGCATTCAGATAATTAATCATAGGCATTAACTCAATCGATCATTTTAATACGTATTACGTACACAACCTATGCTAAAACCATTTTAACATAAATGTTACCGGCAACGTGAAACATTATAGAGTATGATATTATTTCATTTTATAACTGTCATTGAACAGCCCACCCAATTTTTTCGCTGGGATTCGAATCCGGTTCACCGCATTGAAAGGCGAACGCTCTATCCCCAGAACAATCATGGCTATATATACTGTAATTAAAGTCGGCCAATAAAAAAAAATTGCCACAACATTATATACCATGTCAAGTGTTATAATCGTTGAAGTATGAAATATAATAAATTCGCACTCCTCATTAGTATGATTAAGGTATAATTATGATTGAAAAAAAGTAATTTCTTGTAACAAATGAAATAATTTAGAATTTATTTTAATAAGAAAAGCAGTATTATTAATAATAACTAAGATGATCCCGCAGAAGATGTGAGGGAAACTAAATTGCTTTTCCCTACAAATCTTTCACATTCTCATACTACGTATCGATTGCTGCAATTGTTTAAAGGATATTATCATTTTCTATTTAAACTCATATTTCCATTTGTAAACATCTAGAAGACACTCGTTAAGAAAAAAGTTAGTTAACATCATGAATGTCCGAATTTCGGTTGGAAAAATGTATTTTTGATGCAGATGTAGAAAACTTTCGCAATAATTTAAATTTCTGTTACTAGACAGAATTATGAGTTTATTCTAAAATTTTTAACGTGTTTTAATTTAAACTTAATGGTTCTTCTCTTTTGAGAATTGACCCTATACTTTTAATATAAGAATTTTTAACATTCACCCAATAGCGAGTTCAGGCATGAAAATACCTATTCATTCAGACAATAATAGAATAATAACAAGCGAAACTATTTTGCACAATAGACTTAGAGGTTGGAGTAGAACGCATCGAGCAGAGGTCTATTGTACCCATACCCTAAAGTCATGATGAGCGAAAAAGTTCAGCAAACACCTGACAGGAATATCTTGCAATTCCCAGACCTTAATGCAATGTTGCCCTAAATGCTCAAATGTTTGAGCAGAATGGACCTCACAATCACAAAGTTTATGTCGAGAAGTCTCATCCTCAAGACGACAAAGAGGATAAGATTATGTATAGGTGTGTCTCCTGAGGGTGCAGTGAGAAGACTCAAACTGTTAAGCTTAAAAAGCTCTTTTTGACGTACACTAGGACAGTCGCGATTCAGCTCTTTCTGACGATCCGAGTTGCGTCATGGTTTCATGGGCAATCTTGCCACAGAGTTTGAAATTAGATGCCCTGAATGATGTGGGAGAAATTCCAAAAGCTGGTTCAGGGTTCCCAGCTCATTACCAGAAATACCCATATGTCCAGACACCCAAATGTAGGTTTTTGCACAATGCGAAAACATTTAAATTACTTACACACTTATTTAAAGTTTTTTTAAAAATTTTTCTTCTTCATTTTTTTACTATTGACTGTCTAACATACTGTTAAGTGTTATATACAAGTCAAGATAATAATGAATAAAGTAAAATAATGTAGAAATATTAAAAGCTATACAAATTCATGGAAACGTTGGAAAAAATGAGAATGCCTCTTACCATTTGTTTTGTGTAGCCAAAGTTTGGTTATGGGATTCCAATCTGGATTTGCTCCATCTGTGTAGGTGAAAGGAATTTCCCAGCGACTGCTGCAAAATTCACATCACATTATTATCGCGAATGGGGGGATTTTCTATGAATAAAATTGCATATTTAAATTTTTTTTCTTCAAGAAAAAAAAATCTGCACTGAAATTACGATTTTAGATGAATCGAATGAAGATAAAATTAATACAATTTATTTTGCTATTATAATTTTATCAAAAAAAAATCCACCGCGTTATAATTACAAATTTCAAAACAATTTTATAGGAAACACCGCAATTAAAGTTTTCAAATGAAAAAAAAAACTCCCATGAATCTCATTATTATGTCTAATTTCAGTATGATTTAATTGGAACACAGCTATTAAAGCTTTCAAAATAAAAACAAAAAATTTACAATCGCATCATGTTTGCAAATTTTAAAATGCTTCAATGGGAAATAAGGCTGTAATAGTCTAAAAAAAACTACAATAGCCCTAAAGCAGACTTCGTAGAGGCTAAAAATAAAAATGAGTACAAGATTTCACATAAAAACAATGCATTTTTGGTACAATACATGCATACTCGACTATTTTTAGAAGGGGAAACCAAGAGCTGAAGAATAGTATTCGAATAAGGCACCTGGGGAGATGACTCGTTTCACGTCCTTCCCCCCTCCTCTATGTATTACAATGTATTACTCCTTCAAACATTTTTCGCATGTGGATTATCAGGAACATATTTTAAAATTTCCCTAATTCTTAAATTAAGTAATACGTTTAATGGTGTTCTGAGTTCCATATAGTTATCAAACTATATAGCAATAAAACTTATATAGCAGAACCTTATAGCAAACAAACTTTAGTGAACAACCCTCGAATTTAAAGACTATTTTTTCAACTTATAAAAGGAAAATAATAATTATCATTATAGGAATTTATCGCAGCTTAAAACTAATGCAACATGACTTCATTACTTAATATTTTTCGATAAGGATCAAAATGATTATTTTAAAATTGCGTTCTCATCGAAATGGGAATTCTGTAAAAAAACAAGAAAAAAAAGTCAGGCATACCAGGACAAATAAGGAAGAAAAGTTTCTATTAGGAAACTAAGGACAACTACGAACTCTGCTTAATTGTGATTTTCAGAATGTTTTAATGAGTAATGACGCTATAAAAGCATGATTGCAAATTTCAGAATGTTTAAAGATGAATTACGCATTAAAAGTCTAAAAAAATCTACAATAGCTCTAATTGTAGTTTTCATGATGTTTTAATGAGGAATGACACCACAAAAGTCTTAAAAATCCTACAATAGCCATGATTGCAAACTTCAGAATGTTTAAAAATGAATAACGCCGTAAAAGTCTTAAAAGATCTACAATAGCTCTAACTGTAATTTTCAGGATGTTTTAATGGGGAATGACACCACATAAGTCTTGAAAATCCTACAATAGCCATGATTGCCAGAATGATTTATTGGGTGATAACGCTATAAAAATCTAAAATAAATTTACCATCATCGTAAATTTCGAAATGAGTTTTTTAGGAAAATCACCATTCAAGGTTTGAAAAAAAGATGGAAAAAAAACTACAATCGCGTCGTCATATTTGAAAGTTTCAGAAAATTTATATACATATATATATGTAAAAGACACATCACTACTTACTCGATTTCCACACTCTCCATTACTATTGCTTCGCCCCCCCCCCATGCAGGTACATTCCAACTTCTTACTAAAACGAACTGTCGTGGGAAAAAACCTCAAGAAGAGCCGAAACCATTGAAACGGAGAGAGGAAAAGTGTAGAGATAGGAGAAAACACGATACCTTAAGACATTTATTCTATTTACTAAGTATAAAGCAAGGCTGACTTGTTTCCTAGCTTAGTATAAGGCCTTGACAAACAACAACTAGTAGTATACTACATAAGAAGAAAAAACTACATTGCACTTTGAGAATGCGACAACTCATCTGGTATTTAACTTTGACAGCACGAGAAGCTATTTCGTTGTAAATTTCGGGAGTACGAGTAATCATGATTTTGGCTGAGAGTGGAGATGAACAACGTTACCTGTCTTTTTCTGAGGATTCTAGGAGAAATCTTGTCTGTTGTACGGTTGCAGTTCCAGCAGTGTAATCTCTGGTCACTTTGACCACTGGATAGCCTGTCTGAAGTGTCCATGAATCCATTACAGTTTTAACATCAATGCGGTCTTGTTCCTCCTGGACCTACATTCAATGAGTGAAAAAAGAAATTTTATTTAAGTAAATTTAGTAAAAAATTCTGATATTACTAATTTGATTTGTTATAGGTAGGTTTGTTTGCATGCAGGTATTTCGTTTCTGCAAACTATTCACTTATTTTCAGCTTCTTTAGTTATTGGTTATTTTTGATTTCAAATAACTAGAATTGTTATAAACTGGCCAGAAAGTAAAACCTAAAAATTCTTAAAAATTAAAAAAATGAAGAAAAAAAAAACTTTGAAAATCATTAAACTTTCAAATGAAAAATATTGCCCTTAAGATTTTTTGAATACATGTTTTATGTTAGATCTTTTGTGTAAAAAATTATTATTCGAAACTTTTATTTATTAATTTAATAAAAAATAAGGTAATACTTTAAATAAATGTGTCATTTATGAATAAAATGAGATATCAATAAATACTTGAACACAATTGGGAATTTATTTATTTTTAAGATTTATCTTCAGAAACATCAAAATTGCAAATGTTTTTTACATTCTTAAGTTAGAAAGGTTGCTTTTTGCTGAAAAGTAAATTCTTTCTATTTCATATATTCTTTCTATTAATGCAAAATATACTAAATATTTTGCAAAATGAGCAGTAGTTGGCAGGCCTGTGTGAAAAAATAAAAACACAACGAAGAACGAAAAAAAAAACGCATTTAACACCTGATTATAAATAATAATTTTCTTTATGTTATCAGTTCATAAAGCCGGATTAAATATTAGACAACAAACATATGTTGCATTATATACACGTCTTAAATACTAATTTAATACATGAGAATTTGTTCAAGAACATTAAAAACTTAAAAAAGAAGTATTTATCAATCTTCAGTTTTTCAACTTTTATTCAAAATTCAGTTTTTTATATATTTAGATATTTTTTAATACTACATATTCAATTTTTGTTAAATAGAATTTTTAATGTTGTTAATAAAGTAGTTTATGTATTTCTGAAATTTCAATTTTTTTTAATGAAAAGGTCTCAAATTACTGAAAGAAATAATTTTTATTCTTGTAATAAGGTAAGGTTCCTTATTTTCAGCTCCTTCAAGAAGGTAAATGTTTTTTTTTTAAATCTCGAGGGGGGGGAGGTAATGCTATTCGAAACTAGAAAAGATAAGGAAAAAATTCATCTTCTAGATTTCAATTATCTGATTGCAGGGGTAAAAATAAAAGTAATTGAATTCCACGAGAAAAATTTAAATGACTTTCCTAAAAAAAAATTCTTAAAAAAATAAATAAATAAAGCATTCCTTTAGTTCTAAAGAATCTTTGCTTATTTGTTTTTTTTTTCGAATTAATTCTCACTGGTATTAAGAGTACGTTGAAAGTTTTTTCTCCCTTAAAAGATGTTGATGTAATACAGGTTACAAAAAAGTGCAATAAATAAAAGAAATTAAAATAGGTTTTTCACAGAGAGAAAACTGAAGGTAATTTCAAAAATTGTTTTTCTAAGTATTTCTGGGAAAAAAATTTTTAATGAAAGATTTGGAATTTAGAGCATAAATGTTTAAGAATGTATTAATATATAGTGATACATATTACTTACTCTGAAATAGTAATATACCGTAAATATATACGTAAAAAAATTCTGTACCTGTTTATGCTTTATGACTCCATAAAAAACCCTTTTAGGAGTTTCAATTGTCATTAAATTAAACAATACCGATTTGTTTGTTGCCATAAATAATTAAGTCGGTCAGAATTGTAACTGAAGTACTCAGTACTAAAGGAGTGGGGGGGGGATAAAGGAGTGCAAGTTCGAATGAGTATTTTATTTTAAAACCATCGTTGAACAGCAGAACCAATTTTGAGTTTACGACTACTCATGTTCAACTCCGTAGCCTCATCATTTTGAACCCAATCCAGAAGACAAGGGAACTTCTGAATCAAATATTGGGAACAATGTGTCGTCCTGGAGAACTTTTTGATGGAACCTACCCGCATTTGCGTTACATGGTGAGGAAACTACAAAAACCTTCTATGACTAGTCTAACGGCAAGTGGACTCTAACCCATGATCCGTCAACTGCTGAGGACATTTTATGTCAGCACTGTGGTCCACGCGAGCCGATCACCCACCGAGAAATCTAATTTTAAAAATATACAACTTCTTTGAAATTCGACTTCTTAGTCGATCTATATCTTTCGATTTTTGCATTTGGCCTTATAAAATCACAGTCTAAAATGATGTAAAGTCTTTATACCTTACACTTCAAAATGGTTCGATTATTTTTGAATGAAATAAAAAAATAATAAATAATTATTAAAATTGATTAGCTTGAAAAATTCCAAAGGTGCGGCGAAATACGCAAAAAGTAATGTTAATAAACTTGATGAGGGGTCCAAACTTTGAACCGCTCTCCTGTTATCGAAACTATGTATAGCAGATGGACATTTTGAGGGTAGAAAACAAAAGGTTTTTCTTATTCAGAGAAAGTACGTTTTCATGGGTCTGTCCAGACATTTTGTGAAAGGTCCGTGTTTCGTGAAATTGTTAAAAAATTACTCACATTCTTTCAACCAGGGTCCGCTTTTATGAATTTGTGCAAATAGGGTCCGTTATTGCAAAAAAATATTTTTTCAAGGAGTTTTTAAATTGTAAAGACATACAAGATTATGCTCAACACTGTAAAATTGTAATTAAAAAAATTAAATTTTAAAAAATAAACAACAATTGCTGCTTGAGATGCAACACACAAATATTTGGTATTTAGCCTATACTGCTATACTGCTGAATAAAGGAAGAAGCGCCTGCCGTCGACAAAACTTAATTCGTTTACATCCATCTTTCTTGTTTTCTGCCCTGGAA